GACAGCTAATCTCGCTGGGGGTCCAGTACCCTTCCAACAGTTAAGGTGAAATCTGTCTGACAGGTTAGTGGCCCATGCTGTTGGCGTGATAAAATGGGACACGGCTGGACAGCATTCCCTCTCAGAAGGACATGTCTCTGAAGCCTTCTTGCCAAACACTGAGCACAAACGGATGAGTCTCTGGACTAGACCCAGTTTGCAGGAACTGGATGTTTTCTTTGGGAGCTGCATGTTTTCTTTGGGAGGCAACCAACAAAATCCAGGATGTGAAAAACTCTATGAGACAAGTAAACTCGTTTCTGCAGTAAATAAATTAATAAACTGTAAGGAAAGAGACAAGAGGAAGGAGAAACCTCCTGTAGATCAAAAGGGGTGAGTCCTGGCTGGTGGCTTAGTTGGCTAGAGCGTCATCCCAGGATGCCAAGGTTGCAGGTTCGATCCTGTAAGGGCATGTAAAGAACCAACCAGTGATGCATCACTACGTGNATTAATAAACTGTAAGGAAAGAGACAAGAGGAAGGAGAAACCTCCTGTAGATCAAAAGGGGTGAGTCCTGGCTGGTGGCTTAGTTGGCTAGAGCGTCATCCCAGGATGCCAAGGTTGCAGGTTCGATCCTGTAAGGGCATGTAAAGAACCAACCAGTGATGCATCACTACATCANATAAACTGTAAGGAAAGAGACAAGAGGAAGGAGAAACCTCCTGTAGATCAAAAGGGGTGAGTCCTGGCTGGTGGCTTAGTTGGCTAGAGCGTCATCCCAGGATGCCAAGGTTGCAGGTTCGATCCTGTAAGGGCATGTAAAGAACCAACCAGTGATGCATCACTACGTGGAACAACAGATCTCTCTCTCTTTCTTAAATCAATAAATAAAAATTTAAAAGAAAACAACAAAAGGGGCTTAACTGATGTATACACCAACTCAATGGACCTTCTTGTACCCTGATCCAAAAGGAACCAATTGTAAAGGAAATTATGACAACTGAGAAATCTGAATGCTGATTAGATATTTAGTGCTGTTAAGACATTGCTGTTAATTCTAATATGGGGTAAAGCTGTTGTGGTCAGGCTCATGCAAGAGCCATCTTTCAACGAGGCAATTCTGGAATACTGACAGGTGAAAGCATCTGATGACCGGGGAGGGAGAGCAGGTGGTGGGCCCACAGAAGCAGCGAGAGAGGCCAGGAGGTGCTGCTCCCTGAAGGCCAGGGATGCGTGGCGGGCTCATTGCACAATCTATTTACCTCATGGTGGACACTTTCTGTGACTCCTCTCAAAACACACAGGCAGCTGGGAAAATGCTATATGTAAAAAGAGACCAATTTGCAGCGTAGCCCAGGAAGAAACACCAACGAAATTGTGCAGTTCAGAGGGGTCATGGGGCAATGGAGGGAGCATCTGCAGAGAGGAAATGAAAAGGTGGGGAGGGACCACGTGGTGGGGAGGCGGGTTCTGGGCAGCGTGGCCCAAGCAGAGACAGAGGAGCAAGTCACCTCTGTCCGGCACCAGGTGGTGCTCTGGGGAATTTAAGTCCGGTCGATGGGCAGCAGCATTTACCTCTCCTAATAACGAGGATGGAGGTTGTCCACAGTGCCATTTTTAAGCTATGGGAGACGGCATAGGAGGGGAGAAGGGTGGTTAGAGACAGGGTGCCTGGCATTGCTGGGTGTGCAGAAGCAGAGAAGGGCGATGGGCAGTCAGCACCATGGACAGGGCCAGGGAGTCAGCAGAGGCGGCTGTGGGGTATCAGATGGCAGAAGTGAGCTTCAGCATCTTATTTACGGCAGAGGCATGAGGTGATGCTGAGCTGAGATCAGACAGTACAACAGCCATAGGAAGGCCTAACCAGCAGGTGAAGTGCACTGACCATGAGAGCGCAGAAGGCAGCAGCCAGGCCCACAGGCAGATCTCGGAGTAGCACTTGGTTTAAAGTGGAGAAAACTGTCCCCAAAGGGAAAAATGCTGGTGGGAAAGGTGCCCTTCCAGGGAGCAACTCCTGTGGAAATGCCAATCCCACTGAGGGAGCGTTTCTGTGCAGAAAGACGGTTCTTAGGTGCACTGCACAACACCTCTCTTTTCTGAGACTGGCACAGGAGAAAGCATTAACGGCCACACTCCTTCCCTCTAATTACAACTCTGCATTTCTTCCCTTTAAAAGTTGCCATAGCGGCTATATGGGCAGAGACAGAACGAGAGCTGCCTCCCTGAAGAGCAGCAATGGGCGGGCAGACCTACAAAAACAGAGCACTAATGTGAGTGTGACTCGGGCAGTGTGCCATTTAAAACCTGTCGGCTGCTTGATTTTATTGTCTGCATGTCTTCCAAGGGGAAGCCCTATTTTATCAGGATCTTACTTTGTATTTAATGGTTTTAGAAAAAGGCTGCTGGGAAAAGAAGAGCTCAGAGCATCCACGTCTCACAGAGGAGCACAAACCAGTCAACACCCCTCCTTCCTCAGACTATCACAACAGGGGCATAACTCAAATAACGACCCTGAAAGCCACGGTGCTGAGAGTCAGCCACGTGAGAGGCCACACAGTGCACACACCATGTTGTGAGTGGTACTTGTCTCAGACGGGGTGCTTTTGGGGAAGGACAAATACGCATAAATGTGGGAGCTGGGTGAGTTTGACCACAGTAGTGGTGAGGCGTGTGACAAAGCAAATATACTCATAATCCACCGTCCAGAGCTCTGTGCAGCTGACAGTTTGGGGCCAGATGTGGCCATGGCCCCCAGCCATTCCATCACTTTCAATAAAGTCATGAAACCATGGAACTGTAGAGAAGGGGTTTAGGCACTGAGAGCCATCACCCAGGAGCCGCCCACCTCTCCCTCCAGTACCAGCTGCTGAATTCACCTGGCATAGACATGACACCTTCCCTTTTCTGGATGCACAGGGAAGTGTGCACCTTGAAGGTGCCTGTCTCCCAGGTACCTGGCATCTGCCCTGCCCGGACACAGTGGAGGACCAGCCCTGGGCAGGTGCTGGACAGACAGATGGAGTCAACAACAAAAATACCAGAGGGTGGTAGGGCTGACTTACCATCACCTGTGCCTGGGGGGTCATTGGGGTCTTCTGGAAGTGAAAGCCGCTTACTGGAGATTCTCCATGGCATGCGCATGAGATCGTAGGGCGTGAGGGGGCCAGCCTTGGTGGGCGAGGCAGGGATCATAGACAAGTAGGCCATCAGCTTCAGGAGCAGTGTCCGCTTCTGCACTCGGCTGTCCCCCTGAGGACTGAGCTCGTCTGGCTGGAGCTGGCTGAGGGTCTGCAGTGGGAGGCCCGAGTGGTGCCCAGGCCTAGAGGAAGGGGCGTAGGCTAGAGCGGACGTTTGGGCCCCATAGGTCAGCATGCTGTTGTCCTGAGGGTCCTCATCCTGCAGGGGAGAGAAAACAGCAGCAGGTGAGTCTAGAATGGCACTTGGTCTGGACTTTCAAGGCACTGAACAGCCCCAGGCACCTGAGATGTGCACCCATCACAGGCATGGTCATGCACCAAATTCCTCGTCTATGCTCATTGTTTCATTGGTCTTTAAGAACAGCTTTAAGATGAATTCATGTACCATTGAAATGTACTGAATTTGGTTGTTTTTAGTACAGCCACAGAGTTGTGCAAACACCACACACTATTCCACTATCACACTGATCCCAAAACTTTTTCTCCATTGATTTTTAGAGTGGGAGGGAGAGGGAGGGAAGGGTAGGGAGAGAGCGAGAGAGAGAAAAAAAATCAATTGGTTGCCTCCTGCATGCACCCCGACCAGGCCGGGGATCCAACCTGCAACCCAGGTACGTGCCCTTGACGAGGTATCAAACCAGTGAGCCTATGGTGAGTGGGCTGACCCTCTGACCACTGAGACACACTGGCCAGGGATCATCCCAGAACATCTTAATCATTCCAGACAGAAACCTTGTACCCACTCCCCATTTCTCCTTACCCCACTCCAACCCTGGGCAACTGCTCACCCACTTCTTGTCTCTGTGGCTCTGCCTGCTCTGGGCAGTGCACGTAAATGGAAGCCTACAACAGGTGGCCTTGTGTGTCTGGCTTCTTTCATGTAGCATAGTGTTCAAGGAGCATCGTGCCCCATGTTGGGGCTGCATTCCTTTTTATGGCTGAAAAATAACCCATGTGAAGGATAACAGCACATTTTGGTTATTTGTTCATCAGCTGGTGGGCATTTGGGTTGTTTCCACGTTGGGGCAAAATGAATCACAGCAGTGGACGCCCGTGGGCACGTGCTTATGTGGGCACGTGTTCCAGTTCTCTAGGTGGACACCTGCCAACGTGTTTCCTGAACAGCTGCACCATTTACATTCCCACCAGCAACACGTGCGTGTTCCGATGGTTCCACCTCCTCAGCTGCAGGTGTTACTTGGTCACCTTTTTTATTATAAACATCCCAGTGGTTAGGAAGTGGTTTAACTGATTACTTAAATCACCCTCCTACCTTACTCCTTTAACAACAATATTCTGCACCAAGGAAACTGCCAGGGTGTCGGGTTTAATAACTGCACATATCGAATCTGCGACCTGGCCGACATGGTCTTTCATGGAGCCTCCACCTACGTCTCCTCCTTACTCATTTTGTAAAGTTTCCCAGGAGGACGAGTTCTCATCACATTTTGTTTTGCCACCAGGCAAATTGAGGCCAAGTTGTTCTCACCTCTACGACAGCTATAAATACACAAGAAATCTCCACCTCTGACTACAGCACCATCAAAATTGCAAGGACACACAGTAACTTCCACCTGTGGGATTCAGAAAGGTAGCAGCAGCCCCGGAGGCATCCTCAGAGCGGCCCTCATGCTGTGGGACTGGTCCACGGGCCACGTATTAAAATCTTGCCCGTTGATATTTCCTACACGTGCCTCCCCCGGGGCACGTGGTCAATGTGGGGTCCACAGGGCACGTGCCTTGGGACCTAGTTAATAGCCATCACTGAATTGAAGACAAGCGGCTCAGGCTGCCAAGTCTGGTTCTTTTCAAAAACATTTGGGCCCAGCCTCCCAGGATGGCTTTCGATGTAGCAGCTGGACACTAGGAAATGGGGTGACATGGGCTCCAGCTTCTGTTCTCACCCTTGAACTTGGGCAAATCACTTGACCCTTTTGAGACACGATTTTCTTCTGTCAAAGGAGAAGGCTAGATATTATATCTAGAATTGCCTTATTTGTAAAATGCTGAGGCTTTAGCCGTCCTCCAAATTGCTTAATTTTGTCTAACTACTAGCTGAAATCAACCGCTTTCCCTTAGAAAAGAGTAATTAAGATTCATGAGAGAGAGAAATATAAAACACTCCCTCCACAAACATCCCCTCCAGCTGTTCCCACAAATTGGGTGTAAGTGTCAATCTTCGGCTCAGAAAGGCTATCTCCAAACACCTGGTCAGGTCACTGCGCTGGGGGCTGGGAGCGCGTCCGAGCCCCTCATTAACGTGCCCACGAGCACCTCTTCCCTCTGTATAAATGCAGTTGACCTGCAGCTTCTACTCAAGGCCTTTAATTAGAGCCGACCTGGAGGGCTCCTGGGCGGGGACACGCCGAGTTGGATGCAGCACATGACGGATCACAGTGAAATGTAATCTGCACAGTAGATGGGGATCAACAACCTTCCTGGGGTGTTTATGCTCCAAACCCCATTCAGGTGAAGAGGGGAACCGTGCATTTCAGCAGGTGGCACAAACAACAGAGACAATGGAACAAAGAGCACAGCTCTCACACCAGGCCCCCTGCAAACAACGGCCAGCAGGGTGGTGGCCTCAGGGAGCTTACAGGGGTCTCAGGGTGAGGGTGCCCACCCATGACCAAGAGGCCAGGAGCTGGGAAGATGACCAGAGAGGGGAGGGTTCTCCTGGCTGCTCCCTGCCGTGTGGCTTACATCTTGGAGAGCAGCCCACAGTGGATTCTGGGGCAGGGCTGCCGGGTGTGACTCCCACCTCTGAAGCTTAGTGTCTTTTGCTTTGGGGATGTGTTTGACGTCTAAGTCACCTGTAAAGTGGGGGTGATATCTCAGAGGTGCTGGTGGCACCCCTCCTATTATTGACTTCACCTGCTCACACCTCATTTTCTTAAAAGCAGCAGGAAATCCATAGCCCCGCTGGGGACAAGCTGTCCACGGCACTTTTATTCCACTTTCAGCTGAGTTTAAAATTCTATGACTCATTTTCAAACCCTCTATTTTGAAAATGGTTTAAAGCCTTAATTCAACAAACCTATGATGTCGGGTTTCCCAAGGTAATGGTGAATAATTTTTAGACTGCAGTTGCCCAAATATGGAAACTAGTCACCTAAAAGCGTGAAAATTGGCCAATTGCCCGCACGCGATATGGCCGCTTCTGGCACATTAACTCCTTAAACAGTGTGTCAGGGGAATCCAGTCTGGGTGCTGTGGCGTGGTCCACCTGCGTGTGTGAGTGTCTGAGAGCAGCTGCCAAAGCTCCTGACGTTCTCACTGAAACGGAAATGCTGTGGGTGCATCCTGAACCCACAGTAACTCCACAAGAGGAGCAGAGTCTGTTCACCCACACATTCCACAGTGTTAGCTGAATAAAAGTGACAGCCAGGGAGAGAAGCCTTGTTTGGAGGAGGGCCCATCCTGTCCCCGCAGCTCTGTGTGACCTGTACCACTAGGGACAAGTTGTCTAACCTCTCTGAGCTTCACTTTTACCACCTGCCAAACTTGAAAATAATTTGTTTTTTCTTAAAGCAGTTGTGAGGATTTGGGGGAATATAGGTAAAAGTGCCTAGTTTAGCACATGGCTCAGAGCAGGTGTTCATCACTGCCATCAGCATAATGTCCTCTCTCAGTGTCACCACCATCACCACCACTCTGGCTGCTCTGTGCCAAGCTCTGGACTATATTCTATGGGGAAAAACACTGACGTGCCTTCAAACAACTGCAGACTGACATGCAGGTTAGGTCACAGACATTAGTAACTGTAAATGGAGTGTGTTATTAAAGAAGCTTGGTGACGGGTTGGAAGGAAGGGAGTACATTCAGCTGGGGGAAATCAGGGCAGCTTCCTGCAGCCAGAGGGCACACATCCTGGAGCTGCAACCTGTATCGCATCCCTGCCTCCCAAACAGTGAGATACTCATCGGAGTGGACCCCTTGCTCCCAGCTTCGTTGGGGTCTGGGTCCCAGAACTGAAAGTCAGGCCACCTCCCTCTCCTGGAAGGCCACCTGCCCCAGTCCCGGCCTGCACAATTATGAATTCAGGCTGCCAGGAGGGCCTGCAGGCCCCAGCAGCCCCACATGCTAGCAGACACTGAGGGGATGAAACTTTTGTCTACACACTGGTCACTCATGCTCATCAGATATTCTCTTGAGCCAAGGATCCAAAACAAATTAGGAAACCCAAACTGGGCCATCTTTTGACCACATAGCAAACATTTTCTCCAGTTTGTCTCACAGCCCGAAGGCAGCATTGACAAGCACATTGATCAAGAGGTGCTGGTGGCTGGCGTGACAGAGCACAGAGCAGTGGGGCTGTCCACAGGTTTCCTAATGAGATGGCCCCGCGATGCCACTGGGCACAGCGAGAGCTGGGAGCTGGTGGGGAGCTCAGAACCCCCTGCCTCCAGCTCATTACTGTAGAGTCTGGGTTACTGCCGTCCCGTGCTCAGGCCATGGGGGCGACTTGGGCAACTTATTCCCTCTCCCTCTCCCTCCCTCCTTCCCACCTTCTCGCTCTCTGACTTCCTGTCTCCCTCTCCACCCACTTCTCTCTCTCAACAGTGAAAGGTTGTCAGTGCTCGACAGTGTTCAGGCTCTAGGAGTCCCACCCACGTGCAGAGGAAGGCTGGAGGTGTCACTCGTACTGACAGTGCTGTCACCAGGACAAAAGAAATTTTTGCATTTGGAGGAGCCTCGCGCTGGTCTATGTTTGACCGAGATAGCTGTGCTATCTTTGCAGCCGAGATACAGAGCTTTCAGTTAGAGAAGAGAGTCACTCCCCAAATACATTTTTACAGAGTTCACTAAATCTATGAGCTTGAAGAGGTGTTAAGTTCTAAACTCCAGGACCGACGTCTTTTGCAGGGAGTGCCGGATGAGGCACGATGTTAGACCGTGGCCCTCTGCACAGATGCTGCATTATGCTGGCTGGGACTTGCTTGAAGGAGACAACTGGCGATGTGAGGAGACTGTTTCTCCTTCCCACTGACTCTGCACTGCCTTTCTCCTCATGACACTTCCTGGCTTGCACCTTGCCCTCTGCAGAAGCTGCACCTGCAGCCTCGTACCTGGCCAGTAAGCAAAGGGATCGGACCGAAGCAGAGCTGCGTCCCTCTCTCTGTGCACCGTGGGTAAGTGTGGGCTGTGCCAGGCTGGGCTTTGGCTTTGCCTGCTCTTGTCCATGTTGACCCTGAAAACAACCCTATGGTGTGGACACAGGATTCCCATTTTAGACGAGACACCATGATCTGCAAGGAAGGAGCAGTGCTGGACGCAGCCCCTGGCATCTGCTTTGGGCTGTGCCACAGGAGCTGTGGGCTCAGTTAATTCCTGTCCTTGCCAAGTGGTGGATTTCGGTTTCACCCTCCTCGACAGTGTGGAGTAAATGGGGGTTCGCAGGGTCCTCTCTCGTGACCACAGGACTGAACCTGCATGGCCGTGGTCGATACGCACAGGAGCCGGTTTCCACCACTAACAGCACAGGAGGGCTAATGGCACCAATGAGTGGTCAGTAAGAGCTTGGTGGATGCTCCAGGCCCTGAGCTGGCTGGTGCAGGAGGGCCAAGGTTTCACTCCCTCTGGCTCTGTCATGGACTGTTAACCCCGAAAGCCCCTCAGGGTAATAAATTCACAGCCTTTCTCTGACTATGCAAGAGTTAGGTTTTTGATGAAAGATACATAGAAAAGGGTGATTTAGAAGATGATGTGATGGAAACTGGCTGCCCCTTTAAAGAGCAGCAATGTGCAGAGCTTTGTCCCCTAGGGAAACATGTCATCCACGGGGCGGGGGATCAGAACACATGGCCCATGTTCTGCTGGCTGGTGTACACGGCAGGAACCATGTGGCAGCTGTAGCTACATCTGATTATGTGCTTCTCACACGTTATCAAGTCTCTGTCTGAGAGGTGACTAAGAGCTCTCTCTCCACTCCAACACTGGACACAGAAAATACAGAGTTCTAGGTTTTTGTGCGTTTTTCAGTGTTGAGAAGCATCCATCTTAAGGCAGGAGAAAAATCCCTGAGCAAAGATGCCCCAAGTGCTCTTTTTCTGAGTCATCCTTGCGGCCTCCGTGAAGAGATGGCTGTGGTGGACTGTAGTGACCCGGGAACTCATCATTCAAATGGACATTTCTGAGAGGGACAGGATGGCTCGTCAGTGGCTGTCATGGGGCAACAGGCATGAACCACACTGTCCTGGCTGACACGCTGTCAGTCACCCTGCCAGGTGTGAGCATCCGACCACCTAAGCTGACTTGGGGGAAGGTGGCCAGTGGCTGCTGAAGGGACCAGTGACGGTCCTCTTCCCATTCCATTGCTTGAACTAGAGAGCAGGCCGGGCTTTGGGCAGGGATAGAATGCTGTTCCCTCCCCCACGCTCCCCAGCAACCCCGGGGTGACATCAGGGCCAAAGAACCCACACCCAAGAGCTCAGCCCTCCCAACACGCCCCTTGTAAGCTCCTGAAGGGCTGAATGGTCCCACAGATACCAGAAACACACTTTCCACAGCGGGAAGGGTCCCAGGGCTGGAATCCTAGTGTACCACGGCCAGCCTGGACCCTCTAGTGAGGAGGAGATGAACTCATCACAGCCTGGCCCACCCACTAATAACCAGTTGAGTGCTGTAGCTGCAGCTGGATTATTTCCCTGCCTGAGGCTTTTGCTGTAAGAAGCAGCATGTCTGTCTTCCAGGTAGCTGCCTGCAGCTGCTCACTGCCTGATCCACAGCACCTCAGGGCTCCTGCTATAACTCCTAGCTCTTGCCCATGACCACAGCATTTCTGGGCTCCTGCAGTGAACACCCCCTAGTGCACCACTCATGTCGGGTGCAAAGAGCAGGGCACACGGCAGAGAATGGAGGGACCCATTTAGCACCCCTCCAGGTGAACTTCATGCCACTCCTCCGGGGAGCGACTTTTAATATTAATCTTTTTCATTCCAATATAAGGGTGAAGTTCATAAAAAACCAAAACAAAACTGAAAGAGAAGTACCATGGAGGATTCAGCTGCCCTGTCCCTATTTCTGAGGCCCAGGAAGCCAGTGATGGTGAATCTGGGGTCTGTGGCACCCTCCTGATATGGAAACGTGATCCACTGCTCCCCAGAGAAATTTCAGCTCCCTTCCCTTCACTCTGACTTCTTCTGAGTCTGTGGAACTTTTAAAAACCCCCTCCCGCCCGGTTACTAAAACTCCCTCTGGACCCACACAGGTTTGTCTTTATTGATCATTTGTGTCCAAGGCCCAGGGAAGTGATGCGATGTCTCCATCACAGGAGAAATCCCACAGCAGGAGCTGAGGCCAAGCGGGAAGCCTCATTTCGGTCCTGATGAAGACACGACAGGGGACACGGGGGCAGCAAAGGGAGTTTCCCGTCTGTGTCACGGAAACTGCCGATATTCACAAGAATGGGAGAGGTGCTGCCTCTCCGCTGCATGTGGACCAGACAAATGAAGCTGCACGGCGAGGCGACAGGGCTGGAGGGCGGCCTGGGCGGCGGCTGCCGAGGCCCCGATACAGGGTTGACCTGCTTCTTGCGCACCCCTGCTCTCCTCCGATCCTCCTCGGTGGAGGGGGCATCCCTACTAAGAGTGCAGCAGATGGTTTCAGACTTTTGACCTAATTCCACTGTGTTGCTAAAGGACAGTTGATTAATGATAGTGAGAATACCACTGCAGTTGGTTGTGCTTCTGTTTCTTTAAAATGTTCTCAAATGTGCTTCTCATCCTGAGATGTCTCTAGGGCAGGTTTTAGTCGACACAAAGTGAACTTCTACCCGGGAGCTGGCACATGGGGTGCCCAGACCCCGGAGCCCACACGGGATACCCGTGAGGTGAGGGCAGGGGCGTGGGAAGGAGAGATTTCTGGGACGTGGGGCTGCAGGGCTTCTTCCTGGGCAGGCCTGGGCAGCCAGGACAGCTGGTCACCCTGGGTCACCTAATCCCAGCCAAACCCAGGGTCCCTGTCCTCCTTCCTTGAAGTTGAGTGTCCACTGCTGTCCTGGATCCTTTCCCCAAATGTGGACCCGACGCTCTGTGCTGCCCTCAGGAGTCCTGGCTGCATGGTGAATGGTGGGCTTTCTAGAGCTCCAGGCCTGTCCTATAAAGACACCCTGAGGACCCCCACCCCGAGGTGAGTGGGGAGCATAGATGGGCTCAGCATTGAGGGTGGGCAGCCACTGCTCAACTTGGGGAGTGTCACTGTACAAGAACTCTGGGGACCCTTCTCTGCAGGTGCCCCTCACCTCTCACTGTACTGCCCACCAGCCTGATGAAGATGCTAAAACAGGAGGAGAACCGAGAGACGCCAGCGAAGGGCTAGGAAACATGCCTGTGTGAGCCCCAGAATCCCAACTGACTGCGTGGTGAGCACACAATGCAATATACAGATCATGTATCGTACAAATGTACACTTGAAACCTACACGATCCCATTAACCAATGTCACCCCAATACATTTTGTAAAAAAATTAATTTAAAAAATTCTCCCAAAAAAAGAATCCTCCCCAAACCCAGACCCTGGAGTGAGCTGTGAAGGTCACCTGAGCTGCCCGTCTGTCTGGCTTCATCCTGGGGAGCACATCTGAGGCATCAGCCTTGGACAGGGCCTCCAGGTACGGCAGGTAGGGCTCAAGGGCCTTGGCCAGCATGAGGTCGCCCTCCAGACCATACCTCCTTTCATCATTGACACTCGGCTTCCAGCTTCTGCAAAGAAAAGGGCACTGTGAACCAGCTGCTGGGTGTCGATCAGCCACAGGGTGCTCTGCTGGGCGTCATTGCTAGACCAGGGAAAATGCACGTGGGAGGCCTCAGAGGCCCTGCAAGCACCAGGCGTGGGGCCAGGCAGCTCTCCCTGACCGGGGTCAAGTCTCTCACACCCCACATCTCTGTCAGTGGTAACACCATTCGATCAACGGGCTGCTGAGCCACAGACCTATGGATTCACTTCTGAGTCACTGACTCCTGCTGTTCTGTCCCTTTGCAAAACCCTCATATTTGTGTTTCATTATCTCCATTGATTAAACTGTCCTATTTTTATTTTAATGACTTTTTAAGTTACATTGGCTCATTCTTAATAGGCATATAACTTATCAACAGCTCACAGTTCTTTGCATCTCAAATCATGGCTACTGTTTCCCTGACCATTTTTTAATGGATGAATTTCATGTCCTGTGTTGTTAGAGTCTAATTTAACTGAAGTCAATTTACTTTTCTGGTAGTGTCCCTGTTTCTCACTAATTGCTAATCAATACAGATAGAACCGCTCCATGAATGTGCCTTTAAATAGTCTTATTCATCTTCCTGTGTTCACTTCCGATTTGTTTGTAACAGTTACTGGGGTGAGAGTGTCCATCGCTGTGCTGAGCAACATTGTAGCATTAACTCAGCAACATTGTAGCATTAACTCACAGATGGACGTTCCCCTGCCCTTAGGCATGAAGTAGGTCAAAACTTTGTAAGTATACGTTTTTTACTTCAAAAAGACTAAAAATGGTTTACGCTCGGGTCTCCCTTACTCTCTTTTCCACTTGTATGCACTGACATTCAGGCTCCCAATAATGGGAGATGCTTCAAGCTTTCACACAATTTGGAGAAATAAAAAATCCATATTATAAACAAAATCTTGGCCAGAGGACCCAGTGAGCCTGTTCTCACTCCTGTTCTCAGTTACCCTGACCTCATGCACTAATCATTTGGGGCCACTAGTTGTCACACAAAACCACCCTGACCCCACACTTCTGGTCCCCATTCTCTGTGATGTTACTGCTTCACTGAGTCCTGCTGGCCTCTAGGTCCCCTCTTCCAGCTCTCAGGAGCTTCACAAAGGGCACCCTTAGGTTCTTAGGCCCTTTGTGTTCCCTCAGCTCCCAGCCCCGCTCCTTTCATAATCAGCACTTTGCCGACTTTCCACGTGGGGCCTCCTCTGGTCAGCCTGAAGACTGCACTTCAACTCCCCTCTGCCTCCTGATGGGTCCCTGGTTTGAGGCTTAATCAAACCTAACCACCAGCTGTCTTGTTTGAAAATCGCCGAGGACTATTGCACTGGCTGGTGTAGACAGTGGAAAATGTGCCAAGTCCAGATGCCCCAGACATGCCCTGTGGGAGGGAGACGTTGGCAGGACCCACAAGTGAATCTTCACGGAGTGGGAAGGAGAAGCGGCTGGTGCTTAAATGCCCAAGTATGGATTTAGAACAGACTCTCAGATAAAAAGCAGGCTTTCTAAACCAAGACTTTAGGGAAGGCCCTTTTCACTTTTCCTGAACTTGAACAACACTGCACAGCGCTCAGCAGCGAGAGCCCTGCTTGCCCTCTGAGGTCTGTCTTTGGACTCAGTTTTCGACCTCTGTTGCAACTTCCTCCCCTGCAAGATGGGGTGAGACCTCCGTCATTACCTCACTGTGAGCAGTGGGGATGAAGTGAGACAGTCTGGAATAAAATATTCCAGTGTAGATCGCTGTGTTTGGAGAACAGGAACTTTCATGATAGATTCTGCTCTTTGTACTAATGTGAATGTAAATTCTTATGGGAAAATGAGCCTGACTTCTCATTCCTGACTTCTCTGCTCTCAACCAGGAGACACAGGGCTTTTACAAAGGTCTAGGGGGAGAATGGGGAGGACCCTTGGGAGTGTCCATGGGTGAGAAGGGCACCTCGCAGGAGGGTCACCTGTGCATCTTCTTCCCATGGACTAGGACACAGTGGAGAAAGGAAGCACCCCTCTTCCTCAAAGACATCCCCACTTTCTGGAACCTCTATACCAGAAAGACAGGGAGTGCTTTGTGCTACACTAACAGAAAAACAGGTTTGGTGGCTGCTGGTTGTTGTCATCAGCACGGAAACGGGGAATCAAGTCTACTCACCTGGCCAGATGGGCAGCCTCCGGACGCCGCAGGTAGGTTCTGGGGACATGTGACAGCTCCTGGGCCAGCACATGCTGGGTGTAGTCATCCTGCCATGTGAAACCTGTGGGGAGGTGAGAAAACCATGTATGAGCTTAGAAGTTCAGCCAAAGCTCTCAGTGTCACGAGGAGCCCCTGTCCCCAGCATGGTCGGTAAGCCAGGCTCTGTGCCCCTGCACTTTGCTGATGAGGTCGTCTCCTTATAGAAGCTCCAGCTTCTGGAGACGAGTGTGGCAAGGAGTGTGGTGGGGGCTCTGCTACGTGAAAAAAATCAGGCTTAGCATTTCGGTAGAAGAGAGATTTTGTTCTCTGTGAAAGATGCAAACCTGTCTACATGGGATGGTTCTGGTTACGGCAAATAGTCTTCACCCCGCGTGCACAACTGCCCACTTGCCACTGCCCCCGGCGACAAGTTCTGGCCCCACCCCGCTGCAGAGCCCTGCATTTGGAATGAAATAAGGGGTATTCTTACTGTGAAGGCAATTATCACGGGGCTTAATGTACTGTATCTGGGAGCCAATTACATTATATTTATACTCAAATGTTATGACAAAGAGCCTTATTTATAACAAGGGCGCAGTGGTTACGCTGGCGAAATCCATGTGATTACACGTTAATTACACGCGCCGCGGATCACATGATAATTACGCTCAGAATTACCAAATAACGCCCCAGAATCATTATTATGCAATTTGTACATTTTAGATCTTAGGGTAACACTTTAGCACTGAGAACTACCCCGTGCAATTATCCATAATTATCTAATCACTAAATATCATGTAATTATAGAGATATATTTTTATGCCCTGTAAAAAAACACATTACAAATCGGGATGGCTCTGTGCTGTGTGCATGTATGTGTGTGCGCGTGTGTGTGTACATGTGTGTATGCACATGCATGTGTGTGCGTGTTGTGTGCGTGCGTGCAAGGAGGCTCAGATTTGCTGAGAACCAGATATCCTGGGAAGGATAAAAACATGGCTGAGGAGATACAAGCTCCTTCATGAACTCTCTTGAATACTTATTTCAAATGCAACTCTTAACATTTTTCAGAAGGCTCAGCGGCATTACCCAATGTGGAAGCTGATAGGAAAATATACCCAGTCAGCCAGCCTCCCATGGCGATCTGTTCTGAGTGCTCAGTTTGAAACATAACATTTAGAGAATGGGCTGCCGCAGGGAGACCTGGCCCCACGGTCACCGTTACCCTTGGTTCAGGATTAAACATTCTTAATAGCATGCAAGTCTGTTCCATTTGCTAAAAGCAACTAAAATCCATCCCATATGCAATGTATGTTTTTGTGGCTATAATGGGTCCCTGCCTGGCACGAGGCTCAGCTGAAATGTTAGCATAATGCCCAACACCATGGACACTGAAAATAAGCACAGTGTTCACCATGCCATTCCCAAAGGAGGACTGGGGTACTGGCATCTATCTGGAAACAGAAAAAATCAAGAGCCAAGTGGAACTTCCCATGAAAAAATTTTAATTTAAATAATTTTATTATTATTTTTTAATCTAAGGAGCACAGAAGTCTGAGCTATGTCAATTCTGGAGCCTGTGAGGAGGGCTCTGTCCTTCCTGGACCACAGATGGACAATGGATAAAGGGTCCTGAATGGATGTGTGAGGGGGACCCTGAACCCCGGGCCAGACTTCTAAGTTTTCCTGGGAGCAGGCAGGAACTGGGCCCTTGGTATGAAAACAAGAAATGCTAGGAAAGATGGGCAAAGTAAACCCAAAGCAAGTAGAGGAAGACAATACTGAACAGCAGAAGGCAATAACATCGAAATCAGAAGGAAAAAAAGTCATTAAAAACAAAAAAAGCTGGTCCTCTGAAAAGATTAGTAAAATTGACAGATCTCTAGCAAGACTGACAAAGAAAAAGAGAGACCAGTCACAAATGACCAATATCAGTAATGAAACAGAGAGATCGTTACCAACCCTGCAGGCCACGGAGAACAGGCAAACACATAACTACGGCCGCCGAGGAAAACGGACTGTTCCCTGGAAGCACAAACCACCACTACCACCCAGTACGGAACAGGCCATAACTACTAAGAAAGTTGAATTCATATTTAATATATTTTTATTGATGTTTTAGGGAGAGAGAAAAGGAAAGGGAAAGACAGATAGAGCACTGATGAGAGAGAAACATTGATGGGCCGCCTCCTGCACAACCTCTACTGGGGATTGAGCCCAAAACCCAGGCATGTGCCCTGACCAGGAATTAAACCAGTGACCTCTAGGTGCACAGGATGGCGCTCAACCACTGGCCCACAGTGGCTGGGCATGAATTCATATTTAAAAACATCCCCCAAGAAAGCTCTTTGGTGCATCTACTGCGGGGATAAAGACCATTCTCACCAATCAGACTGTCAACATCCCAGGAAATGTGGACATCCCTCTGGAGGGACGAACAGTTATTGGGAGGGGCCTGGAGGCACCTCGGGAGAAACTTCAGTCACATCAGTGCAGAACTCAGTGTCCTTGGAGAGAGAGAGAGGAGGCTCCGGGTTGACAAATGATGGGAAATAGAAAGGAACTGGCCAGGTTCCCACCATCCGCAGCCACGTATGGAACATGATCAAAGGGTCACACCGGGCTCCCTCGCAAGGTGAGGGCTGTGCACACTCCGGTCCCCATCAATGTCGTTACTCGGGACAATGGTTTGCTTGCTGAAATCAGAAATTTCTTGGGTGAAAAATAGGTCCACAGGGTTCGGATGAGGTCAGGCGTTGTTTGTTCAGTATCTCAAGCCCAGAAAGATGAGTTGATTTTAAAAGGAAATGACACTGAACTTGTATCAAATTCAGCTCTTTGGTTCAGGAAGCCACACGGTTATAAATAAGAGTATTGGAAAGTTTTGGAGTGATTCCTATGTTTCTGAAAAAGGAAAGTTCAGCAGGCTGATGAATGACAAATGCCAAATGACTCCTCAGACCTTTTTGTGACATTTTAAAGATGCAATAAAAGCCATGCATTGGGGGAAATCCCCCAGAAGAAATCTCCAGACCCATATGATTTCACTGGAGAATTCGACCAAACATTTAAGGGAGAATTAACGTGAACTCTACACACTCCCTTCTAGAAGACCGAAGAAGAAATAGTTCCTAATTTTAAGTAGCTAATATTCACCTGATACCAAAAGCAGATAAAGACAGGCAGTGCAAAAAAGAGAAAAGAAACCTACAGATCAATACCCCTCATGAACACATAAAAATCCTTAAGAAAATATTAGCACATAAAATCCAGCAATATGTGAAAATAATTACACATCCTGGAGTTTATCCCAGGGATGCGGGGCTGGTTCAATATTCTGAAATAAATCAGTGTCACACACCGTACTGAGACACCAACGAAGAAAAACTACGTGATCAGATCAATGCAGAAGAAGTATTTGCAAGAATCCAACACCCATTCATGATGGAAACGCCCAGAGAAGCAGGAATGGCGAGGAACGTTGAAGAGCGTCCCACACGCTCTAAGGCCAGAAGCTCCAGGTGAGAAACCAGCAGCTGTCTGCTGAAGATCTGGAGCAAGGTGAGAATCAACAGCTGAGAGCCGCAGCCAGCGCAGGAGGGGAGGCGGCGGCCCGGGAGGCGGTGGGAGCGAGGGAAGAGATTAACCAAAGAAGTTACATGCATATACGTATAACCCATGCACACAGTAACGGGGTGAAGGCCTGGGGAGGGGGTGGAGCGAGGTGGGGGGGTCAGTTGGGGGGAGAATGGGACACCTGTAATACTCTCAACAATAAAGATAAATTTAAAAAAATAAATAAAATAAAACGTTTGCATCACACACACACACACAAAGAGTTCTCAGACTTGGCACCAAATGCCATCCACAAAAAATAAAAGTCGATAAACTGGGCCTTGTCAAAATTAAGTTTTGCTCTGCAGAAGTCCCTGTCAATAAGAAGGCTGCAAAGACAAAGTGGGAAAAAACATTTCAAACCACAGAGCCAACCAGTGATCGTGTCTGAAACAAACTCTCAGAAGTAAACAAAAAAATCCAGTTTCACAATGAGCAAAAGACATGAGGAGACATCTGACCAAAGGGGACACACAGGTGGCAACGAGCTCGTGAAACGTCGGTCAGCACCCGTAGCCACCAGGACGCGAGTGGTGCCCACGGCAGACAGACATATCAGAGGGGCTGCGATGAGGGGGCGGCCCCCAACCGGAGGCCTCGTGCCACCCTGGGAAGGGCGGCTTCCCTGTGTGCAGTGGCCAGCCTAAACTTACTGAGCGCGACAGAACTACCCACTGGGTCTCAGAAAGATGACACAAAACAGCGCCATGGAACTGCAGCAACAGCAGTGGTGTCTGCCTGCTGAGCCTTCACTGCAAGCTAGGCGCCTACTCCTTGTGACCTGTGAGTAATGAAGACACAAGAGAGGGAAGAGCAGCTGGTAAAGCTGTAAGAAGAGTCACGACCGAGACGGCGAGGGTGGAGAGCAAAGACTACGGTGGGGTGGTTTGAGAGGTAATTCATTCGCAGGCTGATAAGCACTAATAACTGGTCATACTTGGGAGAAAAGGAAAAGAGCCATGTGGTGGAAAGTGTGGAATTACACACTCATACACACACACAGGCACATGGGCACAGTGCATGCACGTACACACATGCACCCCCCAGGTGGAAACCAAGTTTAACCACCGTATGCTCTGTTTCAATTTTTCTGTGTTGAATAAAGCTTGTATTTCATCATTGACTAATAACACTGGTGGAATTTGCTCTGCCCAGGATGTCAACATGAATCTTATGTTCCATTTGTGTTCCACCATCTTAAAACTAAACAGTGCAGATAAAAATACTCAACTGGCCTGCCTTCTGCAGTGACAAATAGGCTCCCGTTTTATTTCACTGGTGGTCAGATTTAAGATGTGTAGAACAAGATGTCTGTAAACGACAGGTGTCCATCAGGAAGGTCTGAGCTCGTCCAAGACTCTCTATGTGATGCTGAGCTGGTTTTCAGGTGACCACACCTGTTCCGCTCTTCGCAGAGTGCGTGTTATGACTGAATGGGCGCCCTGGGCATTTCAGAACAAGTACACC